GACAATATGTTATTGTATGGTGTGTGGTATGATGGGGGAACTCACTAAGCTTCGTGCTTATAGTTTTCATTTTTGTTTCAGGTACCTCTTCAGTGAAGCGCGGTAGCTGCACATCACACGCACATCGGATTTCCGCACTATGTGATTCATGGGATTGTACTCTGATTTGTTACTATTCGATGTTTTGATTTTGAGACATGTTCATGATGGTTTATGGATTGATATGATATCGCCAACGTTTTCAGTAAACGATTTTATAAATTACTTAATTAAAAATGAAATCTTTGGACTCGAAATTTGGGATGTTACATTCATTGCATAATACTCATCGGTTAATGAAAGCTACCATGATGGAGAATTAGAAAATTTTGTGATGATAGTAAGTCAAGGGAATGATTTGATATTATTGTTCTATATTTTATGATGCACCTTTTTTATTTTATAAAAAAGGCATGTGTATTGTAAAGGTCGACTTAATTAGTAATAGTTTAAACAGGTTATGGTAATGTTAATACTACAATATGTCATCATATAAACAACTGATAACAAATACCAAATTTGTACATGCTTTCATGTGAAACAAACACTTATAGAATTCACAAATAGGCTTTTTAAATACAAAAACTAAATTTGTACATGCTTTCATCTGAAAAAAAAAAAAAAAACACTTATACTGTCCTATTACACATTCAAACCACCACCAAATATTTGTATAAAGTTTAATCTAACAAATCATAAACTAGATGTCATCAAAATGTGGCTAAATTTTCCAAACATGTCTAAACTCCCAGCTAAAACATCAAAATACCACCAAAGTGTGCAAATAACATCTTACCAATACCATCAAGCCAACTAGAAAAAAATACATCACTTCCTAACAACTCATTTCTTAGCTAGACTCTCACATTGATATGTGCATAATAAGAGTGGGTACCTTAAAAAAGGATCACCATCCACTATTGCAATGAAGAAAAAAGAAAATGAGAGCTTTTTTTTTGGTTTACTATTTTTTTAATCTCTTGAAGATATAAATTTGCATATATGCTCAAGTGATTGAGGATTACATTCTATTAGAATAAATTACAATTCATTAACGTCTACTATATTCTATCTGAATTTATAGTTTTTATTCTTTTACATGCACTGAATTTTTTAATATTTAAAATTTGATATTGTTTTCTTTGTGGATTTATGTTTTAAAAAGGTTGTCATTGATGTGGAAAAAGAATATATATATATATATATATATATATATATATATATATATATATATATATATATATGAAGAACGAGAGTATATTATAGTATAATGTATTCTATTAGAATATGGATGTCAAGGGGGCAAACGGGGCCCCCCGCCCCCACCCCCGAAATTTTCCTTTTCCCCCACCCCCGCCCTTGCCCCGAATTCTCTAGCCTCCCATCCCCACCCCGCCCCGAATCCTAGGATTACCCCGCCCCGCCCCCATTTGGGTTGACTTTTTTTTGGGCGAACGAAAGTGTTGTTTAGGCTAAAAGAAGTTATTTTTTGAGCTAAAAGAAACCATTTTGGATAAAAATAGTTATTTATAACATAAGTTTATATATTTAAAATAAAACTATTATAACATCTTAAAAACGTTACACTATAAACTTAAAAACATGATATTTAATTGAACTTTGAAAATTGAAAATCATTGGTATTATTTATTATATTTTTATAATCAATATATATATATATATATATATATATATATTAATATAAATAATATATTAACGGGGTCCCCATTGGGGGTTCGGGACAGGACTATCCACGAGACTTTTTGACATCCCTATATTAGAATGTATAAAATGCTTCTTATCAATAATATTCTTTCAGGATGGATTAGTGTTTTTGTTAAATTTTGATGTTGTTTTTTTAACCATTTTAGCTTTAATTTTTAAGAATAAATGTAATTTTTAAACCATTATTGGTCATATTTTTTTTTTTTTCAGAACGAATGTAATAATTATGTATAGTCTTATTATTTACGAATTAATGTAATCATTGATTCTTAAAGAATAAAATTTGTATTCTTTACAAAATGTTATTCTTGATAATATGTTATATAATTCTTTAAGCATTTTAATTATAAAAAAAAAATTAAATTATTCTGTCATAATAAAAATGAAAACATATTTACTAGTTTATGGGTGATTTTCTGTCATTATGAAAAAATAAAAACAATTATTATTAAAAATTATATTATAGTTAAATTTGAATTAATTTAAAAAAAAATCAAAATTTAAAAAATAAAGGAATTAATTATTCCTTAAAATCCAAAAAATTTCTTTTTTTAATATAGGTTGATTGGCCAAAATACCCATTTGTTAAAATTTGTGTGATTATATGGTACATGTTATCCTATTGTAATATCATAAACCCTATCTATTCATGATCATTGATTCTATTCATCCGTTGGTCCATAAACGTTCTTATAAGCCGCACACAATAGACATAAGAAACACAATAACCTAGCCATATATATATATATATATATATATATATATATATATATATATATATATATATATATATATATATATATATATAAATGAGACCGTTCAATCGAGATCATTTCTTATTGCGAGAACATTTGACAACAAAAGGCATTTAATTTGCAAGGTGACACTTTTGTAATTAAATAAAAAACAGGATGCAAATAAATAAAATTATATAAATAAAAAATAATTAAAAACTATTAAAAAACCTACTAACCAACATCACTCACTATCCAACCAACAACACCACCTACCACCGCCACCTACCACCCATTACCACCAACCACCTACGACATACCACCCATTACCCGCCACCAACCACCCATCACCACTACCCACCAAACACTACCACCCACCACCACCATCCACCCACCCCCATATACCCACCGCCAACCACCATCCACCATCACCCACCACCAATCCACCATCCACCATCACCCATCACTCACCTCCACCCACCACCACTAACCACCCACTATTACTACCAACCACCCATCACCACAACCTAAAACCCAATACCACCACTCACCACCTTCACCGCTAACCACCACCCACCTTCACCACTACCAGTCACCACCATCCCACCTCCACCACCACCCACCTCGACTACCCGTTACTACCATCCCACCTATTACCTACCAAAACCAACACCCATCACCCACCAAAACCACCCTACCACCCATCACCAACACCCACCGCCACCACTCATCAATCATTACCACCACCTCCATCACCCATTACAACCATCCCACCATTACCACCACCAACCACAACAACCAACCACCACTAGCAACCACCCGTAACCACCACCTACCACTACCACCAATCACTACAAACCACCACCCACGACTACCATCTCTATCACCCACCTCCATCAACCACCACCACCACTCCTACCATCATCTATCACCATCACCACCACCCACCTCCCCCCAACCATCACCACTACCCCCACACATTACTAATCAAAACCACATGTTACCACCACCACCATCCATCACTTCCACCAGCCTCCACCACCATCACCTCCATTTGCTACCACCAACAATATCCACCAACATCATCATCAACTACCACTATCACCACCCATCAGCTACCACCACCATCCACCACCAAACATCACCACACGTCACCACTACCATCACCACCAAACATCACCACACGTCACCAACACCCATCACCACCACCCGACATCACCCACGTATCAACTCCACAACCATCGGCCCACCCACCACCACTACCATCCACCACCCAAATGGTTGTTCTCGTGTATATAATCACATGTGATTATATATATATATATATATATATATATATATATATAATCACATGTGATTTATATAGACAAGTTTTGTATTTTCATAATAAATATTTGATATATATAATCACATGTGATTAAATGTATTTAATCACATATGATTAAAATGGACAAAGATAAATCATTAAACCGAGAACGCGAAAATGAATATTGTCTACATATAAATCATATGTTCTGAGCTCACCACCGTACTAGTTACTCAAGCTAAACGTAGAGCTAACAACTTAGCAATAATTTTATACTAGCCGTGCTTTCATGAGCATGGGTTTCATCCATGGAGATTTTCAATCCCCTTAAATCACTTTCGGTAGGTTTCAACCTCTTGAAATCATCAATGGACTTCTAAAAACCCCTCTAAGTCACCCTAGTTAGAGTCTTTGTTTTTGGCTATTGGTTGTGTGTTTTGTTGTAGAGTTTTGTATACATTAATTCAATTAAAATATAATAGTAAAATAATGAAATTTGAAAACTTTAAATACCCCTCCCTCCCTCCCTCCCTCCCCCCCCCCCTAAAAAAACACATGAAGCTAATTTTTAGTGCCTATAAATACAATATGAAACAATTTTTGATAACTTGACACTTAGATAATTAGACTATAGGGTGCACCAAGCGCACTCATCAAGTTAAGAGGATGCGTCAAGATTGGGTCACTGGTAGCTTAGAGAGAGAGAGAGAGAGAGAGAGAGAGAGAGAGTAGGTGGATTGCAATTGGTTCTTTTAATTATTTATTTTATTTTAAAAATGCTAGCACACTATGGATCTTTAATATAAGGGTGAATATCTCGATCTTGGATCGGACCTGCCAAGTCTAGTTCCAATTCTTGAACATGAAAGTGAACATTTTGACTGGACCAGACTGGTGTTTTGCAAAAATTGGTGGACTTTGGACTGGATTTTTGAAGCTTACCAAGTACTGATCCGAATCGAGGTCCGATATGATGGAAAGTTCCAAATGCTTACCCCTACCTTAATAAAATGTAATGCTTATTCGAGATATAAAAATATAATCTTTAATAATATCTTGGTTACTTAGAAAAACAAATCGGTAATAGTTCATTGTGTTGATACGCTCTTTGTTTGTACGAGTATAAAAATGTTTGTTCTTTATTGTGTGTGTTTGGGGATTTGAGAGTTGAGAGATAGACGGGTCGATTGCAATGGATGGAGGCGATTCTGCCGCCGGGGATCATATTGCATCGCCGGCAACGTCCAATATTTTCTTCACAAAGCCGCTCATCATTTTCTTGGTTTTTCATTCGTATCTGAATCTGATTGATTCTACTATTTACTATTTATTTGTTCTACAGCCGAAGCACATCGGTAATGATTTGTCGATGGTCGCCATGTGAAGACGTGATAACAACATCGTCCACCAAAAACTCTCCTTCTAATTATGATTTTTACCCACTTTCAGGTTCTATTCCTAAACGAATCTCTTTCAACTTCGATTTTCAGAGCTTCTCTACCTAAGTAACTAATAACTAATATCAACATCTAGGGTTCACTTCCATTGATCATTTATATCTCTAATAATAGCTTACTTACTTAAGTACCAACTTACATCATTCATCTTTGTATTTTATAAACCTACCAAACTATACCGACGTCATACAAACACAAACCACTTTTCATTTCATTGCCATAAATATAATTGGATGGATTCTTAAAAATATAATGTCGTGATAACATAAAATTTAAAAGTATAATGCTACATAATGTGGCGGTTTTCTTCTTGATACATGTTTGTATTTTATAAACGATTAATCTATCCAAGTATAACGATGTCATACAAACACAAAATAGTTTTCTTTGCTATAATTGACTAGATTTTAGTATATATGGACTTCCATTTGATTTCATGTGGTAATTTGTTATAAATAAAACAAACACAAAAAGCACATGGTGATGTGTGTTTGAACTTCGAATTTGGTTCTTTCAAATAGTTTCTTACAATATATGGGAAAATGACTTAAAACCCAACGAAGTTTCCAAACCGTTTAAAAAACCCCAATCATGTTTTGTCTATTCAAAAAAACCCAACAAACTTAACATTTTATCTAAAAAGCCCAACTAAGTTATACTTTCTCGAAAGTCAAATAAGAGATGACTTATTAACGTATTGGAAAAATGACTTGTTAGACCAATAAAGTTTCCAAAACGTTTAAAAAACTCCAATCATGTTTTGACGGTTAAAAAAAACCCAACGAACTTAAACAAAACAAAATTGGAATTTTTTGAACGGTTTGAAACTTTGTTGGATTTTTTAGACAAAAGGTTAAGTTCGTTGGGTTTTTTTGAACAGACAAAAAATGATTGGAGTTTTTTGAATGATTTGTAAACTTCGTTGGGCTTTTAAGTCATTTTCCTTACAATATATTGATGGATTTGTTACATCCAAGGGTTCGCTGGACTTTTAAGCACAACCACTCAGTGTCAGTAGTCAAATCCATAGTGATGACATGGTCAAAGTTGTATAGTATTACTCTTGGAGAAAAAAGTTTCTATTTTTGGTAGGTAATTGGTTGATTGTATGTGCAAAAATGGCAGCTGCATTTGGTGCTACTGTACAAGCTAAAAATGGAAATATAATGCCAGGACAAAGAGTAGTGTGGTTTGTTAGGTGCCTTGGCAATAACATATTTTCAAATTCAGGTCCACTGTAACATTAATGTTACACATTACACTACAAAACATACATTTTAAAATGTGAATGTAACAAAACAAAAATTACAACATGTTTTCTACAAATTACACTACATAACACCTTAATTAAGTGCTATATTTATTTTGAAGCAATTTCAATTCTATAAAATGAGCATAGGAAAACCAAAACTATATATTCAATTGCTACAAAAGATATAAATCCCATGAAACAAGTTTATTCCTTGTTCAAAATTCAACAAGAATGGGCCCAAGCTTACAAGATGCACATAATGGATATGATGAATGTATGAATGGTGTATTTACACAATTACCCTAGAATATAAACGCACAAAGATATAAGATTTGAGTACACCTACAGAATGTGTCAAGAAGCATGACCTGATGAAGAAGAAGTCAAGCAGTAAAGTCAATTTCAAGGTCTGGCATTGTTCTTGTAGCCATGGCATATGGAACTCTCATGCTCCCAACTCTGGTCATGCGTAATGCTTCACCAGAATTTGCAGCTCTTTCTAGTTCTTGGATTCTCTTCCTTTTCTTGTATCTCCATGCCCATAATATCAGCAATGCAAACAACACCACCAATATGATTCCACCACCTGCTATGCCAACAATAGCACACACTCTAGGCATGTTGTCTAACTTACTACTAGATGCAGTTTCTTCAGGTGATGCAGAAACTTCAGGTGTTGCAGGAGGAGAAGGGGGAGGGGATTCGACTACAATGGAGAAATGCCCCTGTTCATAAGTCAAACACTGATTGTCTGATACTAAATCTGTGAAATTGACCTGACCATGTAGATCAAACCAGACACACTTGGGATGAGAACCAGAACCTTCAGGTTTTGACCTTATTTGTCCAAACTTGATTGCGATGGCATCATCGGAAGCCCAAAATTCCAGTTCAGGTAGATTAGTAGCTGATAAGTCTGAACCATTGTAAGCAAGAAGACCCAATATAGGAGCTAGATAAGTGTAACCAGGTAAAGGGTAATATGTAGTGGACCAATTCCCCAGGTTTTGATACACCAGAACAAGTCTCTCCACATATGGTTGCTCTCTTACGCCAATGGGGATTTTGAACTCTTTAAACGTTTCAACACCTCTGTGAAATAGGCTACCACTTCGTAGTCTCATTGCTGATATCTCAATCCCTGTCAAATAGGGAGGAACGAGTCCATCAAACGGAATACCAGTACGTGGATGGAAGAATGCACGGTAGGCGTATTCCTGGAGAGTCGTATCAAGAGCCCTTGCAGGTTTTGTTTCAGAATTAGATAATGGAGATCCAACTCTTGGCCAACAGAGGAAGCAAATAAGCAGAACAAGTATCGATAAACTTCGAAATTGAAGCCCCATTGATGCTTCAGGTTATTGAAAATTGGAACAATTGGCAAGAACTGGATTCTCTGTGTGTGATCTAATGGCTAACTGAAAATCAAAATTCAGAAGCTAATAAGCAACTATAGAGCGCTAATGCATGTCTCAAGGAACATTCCAAAGCCAAAACCCTTACGATACTTCAAGAATTCCGCAACTAGAATCTGGATTCTAAACGGCAGATCTTGTGGAAAAGAGAAAATCCAGAGCAATGTACTCAAACGAACCCTAGAGTTTCGGCAAGAGCAGTTGAGTTTATCAATCAAAAACAGCAACAAATTGATTTATTCACCTTACAACCGTTTTCGAGTTCATCAGATTACGCAAGAACACGCATTCACCTTCAACGCCCAAACAAATTCCTCTGCATTTTGACGAAACTGGAGCCAAAAACCGTAACTAGCGTATGAAAATTGCATAAACTTACTAGCTCCGGCGATCTCGATCGTGAAAACCGTTACTATATTTGTTTCTCTTGTTTTTGGAGTTGGAACTGACAAGAACTTCTTCTCCTGATGCGAACAATTTCTCAAGATGTCCAAGAATCAAGTTGAAACACGATTTTGATATGCACACGACAAACGAAACAATCAACGAAGATGAAACAAAAATGGAACAGAAGTAAATCAAGCGTATGTTGAAAGAAATGAGTGAATGAAGAAGGAGAGACGATATCCAAGAAGAATTGATGTACAAGAGGAGAGAGAGTGAAATATATACACGAACATGTATGTATGTATGTGGGGATTTGCAGAGTAACAGCTAACAATATGGGGAGGGGGAGTTGACGTAAATGCCCTCGTCCTTTTTCATTTATGGACAAATGTGTACAACAAAAGGTGACTACTGTTTTGCATGCCAATGGAAATGGGTCAAGTCAAACTCTCAACTTAGTCAGCGACTAGTCCTCTTCTTATTTTATTTTTGGGTAGTACGTTCCATTTAATATTATAACAATTTACTTCTTTTTTTTTTTTTCAATATAAAATGGATTTTCATATGGAGTAATTAGGAATTAGGATAGAAATATAATAATATTTTAGTAGTAATTTTTTCACCATTTAAAATGTGGTTACATAAATTAATGAAAAACAAATGGATATATTGTAAATTTTGATGTCTTTCTTGTTGTCAAACATATATTCATCCATGGGTTTTTGGGATAAAGAAAGTCTTCTGTAAACTCCTCTAACAATTATCTATAAGATAAATACAAAAATACATAAGATATGTCTAGTAGTCTCGTGTAGTTGTAACCTTTTGCGGATGCTAAGACTATCTTGAAAGTCATCAAACAGTAAAAATGGCAAACCTTTGATGAATATGCCGGCTAATTGATAGTCAGAAGGCACATGAAGAACTCATTCCTATATTTTTGTGACATTTTCTCGTACAAAATGGATATCCATTTTCGATATGCTTTGTATGTGTGTTGAACCAGGTTTTCCGAATGTTGTATTGCAGTACCATTGTTATAGTAAATAATTGTGGATTTTGAAAGAGGACCATGAAGTTTCAAGAAGCAAATTTCTTAGCCAACATGCTTTGCAAACAACATTTTCAATGCTACGATATTCAGTTTCCGCACTTGAACGGGATAATGTCGGTTGCATTTTGGAGGACCATGAGATGAGGTTATCACCAAAAATAAAATAAATGAAAGTTGATCTCGAGTATCCAAACACCCCTCAATTTTGCATCCATGTAGGCAAGAAGATGCATGGATTGCAATTTAGAGAAGTGTAAGCCGAGGTGAAACACACTTTGAATGTATTGAATAATTCGTTTGTTAACGTTCGTTTCAGGTATCAATTACTTTTCAGAATTTTAGGATTTTAGAATGGAACTCGACGAGTTGGGGGAGCTCTAACTCGTCGAGTAGAGATCATTTTGGGACGCGAGATTTAGGATCTACTCGACGAGTTGGAGGGCCCAACTCGACGAGTAGACGTTGTAAAGCAAAACCCTAATTTTCAGGGGGGTTGCACCATATTTAAGGAACTTATGGGTCATTTGTCGCCTCCCTCATCGTCCTAACTGTCCAAAGAGAAACCCTAGTCGTGCTTTAGTGCCTTCTTGAGTGTGTGTGAGCTTTGGAGAGTGAATCTTGTTCTTTTTGGAAGGAAACTTGAAGATTGAAGAGATCGAAGTGAGTAGAGGGCCTTAGATCCAACATCTACCTGGTGTTAGCATCATTTTGGAGGTAAAAAGTTGTTATCTTGATTTCTATTTGTTTAGAACTCATCTTATGGAAGTATATGGTCACTTTTGGTGCAAAATGGTGTAATTCTCGAGTTTGAACTTGTCATGAAGATATGGTTTCAGATCTGGACACCTCTAGGCCTCCATGGACATAAAATTGCCCACTTTATCTAGTTTAGGCCCTTTTCCATGCACTAAACCTTGTATAAACCTTAATTTTAATGTTTTAGCCTTTTGAGGCCTTGCATGCATGTAAAGTTTGCAACTTTACATGGTAACTACACCATAAGGGGTTGGATCTGTAGTTTGGAGCCTTGGATTCCACTGGAAATGACTGAACACAAAAGGGCTGAAGGAACTCGGAGGGTTGCTTAGCCAACTCGACGAGTTGGGTAGGGTTTACCCGTTTTTGGGATTTTGAGTGATTTCGGTGAGTGATGAGAGTTTTCGGTCTACACGAGTTTTTGGTCTCCTGAACATTAAGGAACTCGATGAGTTACTCAGGTAAATCGGTGAGTTGACTCGAGATTTCGGTTGTATGGACTCTGAAGGAAATCGACGAGTTGTTGGATGCACTCGACGAGTTAGGGTCAACATGGATTGTTGAACTTGACTGTTGACTTGGACTTTGACCATGGTTGACCAAGTTTGACCTTAAGGTTATTTATGGTATTTAAGGATTTTGATAAAGTTGGTCACATGATGATTGTATGCATTTGAGTTAGAGTTGCAAGTTGTGATTGACCTTATCAGGTCAACATTTATTGAGAGGTGAGGCTCATCACCATACCAATGGGTCGAAGGCATTAGGCTAAGACCATGTGGGGGTTCCCATGGCACCCGGAGTAAGACCCTGGAGGGTTTCCAGGGCATCCCTATATATTTATATGCATGGCTTATGTGGTTTGTGTAGTTGATATAACTAATATAGATTATATGATTATGTGGATTGTGTGAGGTATGCTCTGAGGAACTCACTAAACATTAGCTTATAATTTTTTGATTTGTTTCAGGTACATCTGAGCCTAAGGGAAAGGGCAAGACTTGATGGCGAGGCATGCACTATTCGACATTTGATTTGATGGGACACTCTGATATATGAAATAAAATGTTGGCGTTATGGATTTTGAAAACAATTGTCATTGATATTTCTTATTTTATAGGGATATTTTGGTTGATTAAAAATGAAAATTTTATTTGAAAATGTGGGTCGTTACAGTTTGAGTGTGTTCATGGGATTCATACGTATGAGGTGCATGCATGTGGATGCAAATTTATTGGAGTGCAGAGACAAAACTATGATAGTAGGTGGGGGCAGGAAAAGGTTTGCAGGCTTGAGAGTTCAACTTCACATTAGTATTGACCGATGTTGTAATTGGTTTAAAGAAACACATATAGGGTCGTTGAACAATTTTTGGCATATTGTGTTTGTGATACGTAATTTATATATTATTTTTAACCAACTAATTTTACTAACTATTACGCTTAATGTAGTGTACCTAATTGAAGATAGAATAACAAAAATAGTCGGGCATCGAACACAAGGAGCAGAATTAATAGCTAATTTTATCTACTAATGTTAACTAAATAATTATTAATTAAAAGGGGTGTTTTTCTAGTTTATCAAGTCTAGAAACTTAAACATTCAATTAACACTAAAAAAGAAAATAATTAGCAACACAAGGAAAAACTATGAAAACAAGAAACGATTTTTACCAAGATAATTAAGAGGCTTTAATTTAGATCCGATATACTTGCTTTAATGGTTGATTTAGTAGAAGTGTAATGGATTAATGTGACTAGATTAATTCTCACTAACCTAATCCTTTAGTAAATAAGTTCATTCATGTGCTGATAAAGGGGATAAACTAACAAATTTAGTAGTGTTTGGTTCGAGTTATATGAGACTTATAATAAATTGATATATTAGGTTAATTAAATCAATACAACATATGATTGGTCTACATATATTAGCTCCTACATTCACTTACCCACTATTCTATTTAACCCTAGGTTTTTATCAAAACACTAGTTTTACAATTTGCCAATCAGAAGATCATAAGATTCAAGCCAATCCGTAACAAATAATTAACTAGCATAATCCAATCCGTAAAATCAACTCATAATAATGCAAGCAATCTAGTCTAAACGAAATTTAGGGTGTTTAACTCATAACTTCAGCAAACAAACATGTAAAAACAAGATTCACTTTGATAGTCACGATCAAAACAAAGTAAACCAAGTAAGTAGGAATATTGTTGCCTTAGATCTCTTTAAAATCAAGCTAATAACTGAAATTTGCACTTCACAGCTTCCAAAGAATGTCTCTGGCCTCCAGAAATCGATAATTGCTTCCAACATCCAACATGTTTTAGAGAAAAGTCAACCTATATATAGTATTCGAAAATTGGTGCACCACAGTGCGGTAAATGGCCACCACTCTATGGTTGGTGTATAAATCGTGTACCCGAGATCATCATGATTCTTTGTTTTACCACGTCATGGTGAGGATCACCACACCATGGTTCTTTAGCTTTCCTTCTTCTTTTTACCTTATACTAAATTCCTAGCTTCCAGCTCCCAATTTGCTTCTTTTTTTATCCCGACCATATCTTTTACTACTACAACACAAAATATAACAAATTAATCATCTTTTGTTTAATAATAAGCATAATTATGGCTAAAAATATTAAGATATAATACAATTATATATATATATATATATATATATATATATATATATGCACATATCAAAATACCACATGCTTAACCTTTGC